CATGGACTTGATGTGTAATCCGTTATCAGTTTTCTTATTATCGTTGAAAACTTTTACAGCATTACGCCAGGTATTAAATGGTTCCTTAAACAATTTACATAATGCATATTTGTTTTGTAAATTTGTACCAAAATGTGTACAATGAAGACAATATGCACCATCTTCAATTTTTGCGTAACAAAGCCAATAAAAATCATCTAACCATTTTAGCAAAAATGTCTTTTTTTGCTTTTACCTGTTAAAGGAAATTGGAAACATTTATCTGGAGCCCAGATATTATTAATTAGAGATAACAGTTCATGATCATTTGTTCCTGATTTTTATTTTTCACCTTGTAGACAGTATGATGAAACATCATAGTTTGAATTAGATGCTAGCTGATTTGTATTTAATAAACTAATGTCAACAACATTGCTTTCCTTTTGTGGAACATTAGATTCAAGAGCCTTTTTATCACTGTTGTTGGCGTTTTTTGAGATAACTACTTAAGTTTTAACTATTTTATTACAAAAACTAGACTTCACTATATCTTAAGTGTTCTTAGAAACAGTAGGAAAAAATAATTTAGACTAAATTGGTTTCTGTATTTTGTTATCTGTAGGTGGAAAACTAGACTTAGAAACTTTTATTTTTTGATACTAAGTAAACTTGGATCACTCATAACAACAACTGGACGTTTTTTAGGAAAATCTTTAACCAGTGCCACAAATGATTTGGCTTAAAACATAAAATACTTTTGTTTTTTGTTTTATCTAAATTGCTCCACAAAATATTTATCGGACAATTTAATTTTTGGATGCGAGGCTTTATAAGAGTATTAAAAAAACTATGATTTCAGGATGAATAGATTCAATAGGTTGCTTTATAACATTAGATAATGCTATTAGACAAATGAAAGATGAAAATGTTTTATCAAAGCAGTTAAATACGCTTCTTTTAAAAGAAGTGCAGAAATCATATTATCATTAATTGTTGAAAAACTGTCAGAGCATTTAAACGAAACAGCAATAAAAAACAAATTAGAAAGCTGAGAATATTCAGATCTATTTTGATTAAAATAACTACAAAAATAATCATACCTTGTGTAAAAATTATTGTTTTCAAATAACTCAATTGATGACAGTAATCTTAGAATTTTTGAAGTATGATTACTGTCATTTAAAATCAAAGATACTGAATATAAAGACAATTTCCATCTTCAGTAGATCTGAGAAAAATAGTAGAATATATATAAATATAATAATGAGTATAATATACTAAAATGTGATATCAATAACAAAAAAATAAATAGTTTAACTATAATAATTTTTTTTTTTACCAATATTACATTTTAGTATATGGGTCATTCCACGCCAAACGGTCCAATTTCCGAAATCTTTCCCGCACGACCATCTCCAATTTTAATAAAATTTTGTCAATATGTTGTTAAACATGTTTCATAAACATTGCCAAATTATTAGATCAAAATATTTATTAATTCGGGTTTTGTGGTACTTTTTGTAAGGCTTATACAAACTTCAATATCAGTTTGTAGCTAAAAACAGCATTTTTGGGGACTTATATTTTCGTAATGAACGGATAATATATCTTGAAAACGTGGTTTCTTAATAAACCGAAGGTGGAAATTACAAAAAAATTATTTTAAGTTTCATATATTATGCCTACATTTTAGTCAATGGTTCACCAAATACCGTCACAAATTCAACACCATAAATTTTTTCTGTTTTTTGTAGAGTCATATCTCCAGAACAAAAGATTTTTTAGTATTGTTTTTTTGTTTACAGGTTCTACATACTATCATAATGATATGGATTAAAAATCAGCTTTTTTATAAACGTCTTTTCTGAGTTATTTTGAAAGCAAAATAGCGACAAAAGTGAAATACCCTAAAATAACGTGTGTTTGAAGCCTTAAAATCAATGTGGGCAAATTTGTTTTGTTTTTTTAATTGCATTGTTGAAAAGAGCTTACTTCATACTTCTAGAAACAATAAAAACCATTTTGGAGAGATTTTTTCTATAAACTAAAAAAATCTAGTTTTTATGAGCTAAGTTAGGTCTGCAAAGTTTTTGATATTTTAAAAACGATATTAAGGTCCGTATATTAACTATAGCCATGGAGCTAATTTTATTAAGTAAGTATATTTTTATTCTACGGACAAATCTCACTAAATTAATTTCAAATATTTAAGTTTATCACAAACATCTCATATTAGAATACAAAAATTAGAATTGAATTTTAGAATGAGTTATTTTTAACTTATCCTGACATGTCTGTTGATCAAAACTTAAGTACTTGTTGTATTGGAAAGTTTGACGGAAGTTTATATCATTTAAGTAAGTATTCACGAAAAAAGGGTTTTATTGACTTTAGCTCAGATTTTTCGAACAAAGAACAGAGTATGATTGTCAGGCGAACTTATAATTTGATTGAAAATATTACTTTAATTTGTTTCCACCACAAATCACTGCTGTTGGTTAAATAAACTCATTTGCAGCGCCATTGTTTAAACTCTTTTGGTGTGGCCATTTCTTGCTCAGTTAAAGGGTTAGGATGTATTGACCTAGAGACTGCAGAATGTCTTTCAAAGTTAACAAATAAAGTTATTTGTTCAGGTCAAAAACTGTGTCCGAATTGCCGCAAAGTTTATTCAACCACTAAGTCTTCAAGTGAAAAATTGACGACATTGGTGACATAGATGATATATTTTGTTCAACTGACACTTTTAATACTAGCCTTTCTGAGATTGGAATATCACCTTTAAGAAAACATGTTAGTAAGAGAGATCATGCTAGTTATGTAAAAGGTAAAATTCGGAAAGTGCAAATAACAGTTGCAGAAAAAATAGCTGCTGTTAGTGGTTTATCACCAAAGAATAATGCCCTACCACTAAGCAGTGCAAGTGTAGAGATTTGATACTAGAATTGAAGGATAAAATATCAACAACCAGTAATCCACGTGAAAAAGTTCAAATTTTAACTCTGATACCAAACAGTTGGTCAAGAATAAAAATATGTAGTGAATTTAAAGTATCAGAGAGAATGGCTAAAGCAGCAAAAAAGTTGAAGGCGAAAAGTGGAATCTTAGCACTTCCAGAAAGAAATGCAGGAAAGAAATTGCCAGAACATGTTAAAGAAAAAATTTTGAAATTTTACGAACACAAAGCTTTTAGCAAAATATGTCCAGGGAAAAAGGATTTTGTATCTGTGCGCATTGGTGCTAAAAAAGTGCGCATGCAAAAAAAATTACTGTTAGTTAATTTAAAGAAACTTTTTTTGGAGTATAAAAAAGAAAATGGAGCTGAAGTTGGATTTTCTAAATTTTGTGAGTTATGTCCAAAATAGTGTATATCTGTTAGATTGTCCGGTACTCATCGTATTTGTGTATGTACTATTCACCAAAATATAAAATTAATGCTTGCAAGTAGCCCAGTTACAGTAGACTATAAATGTCTGATTGAAAAATTAGTTTGTGACATTGAATCTAAAGAATGTATGCTTCATCAATGTGATAAATTTCAAATAAATGTCCAGGGACTGAAAATTTAAAAGTTTATCTTGAAGAGCAGTTTAAAGACTTTGAATCTGATGAAACTATTAAATTCAAGCAATGTGTAAAAGTAGATCGTGAAACTTTAGAATCTTTGCAATTACCAGTTGACGACTTCATAGATGAATTAATTTCAAAAGTATCTGTATTATCTAAGCATCATTTTATTGCCAAAAACCAAAACAACTATTTGCAATTACTGAAAAATGAGTTGAATTCAAATGAGTTCATAATTTTGATGGATTTTTCTGAAAACTATTTGTTTGTTGTGCAAGATGCTGTTCAAGGGTTTTACTGGGAAAACAGCCAAACAACTTAGCATCCTTTTATTAATTACTATAAACTTAATTACATATTTAAAAATACATGTTATTGTGTTATCAGTGATTGCATACATCACAATACTATTTCTGCTCATGTATTTCTTGGTAAATTAATAGCTGAACTTAAAACTTATTTGTCTTTTGAACTTATTCATTATTTCAGTGACGGTTCAGCTGCACAGTACTAAAACTTTATGAATTTATGTTACCATAACACTGACTATGGCATTAAAGCAGAGTGGAATTTCTTTGCAACTAGTCATGGAAAATCTCCCTGTGATGGAATTGGTGGAACTGTGAAGCGTTTAGCAGCACGTGCCAGTCTTCAACGGCCAGTTGATAATCAAATTTTAACTCCTTTAAATTTATATGATTTTTGCAAGGAAAGTGTCACGGGTATTTCATTTAATTATGTTGCCAGTGATGAAGAAAACAGTGTAAAAGCAATCAAGAGAAACAATTTAGTACTGGAAACACAGTTGCAGGTACTCGCGATAATCACAAATTTGTACCTGTAAATGAAAATCAGGTTTGTATCAGTCGTATTTCAAATGACAATACATCTTTCATTACAAATGTTAATGAAAGTTACAAAACAACTCAACCAAATTAGTTTCACTATCTGATCTTAGTCCTGGAAATTTTGTTGCATGTATTTACGATGCACATTGGTGGATTGGAAATGTTTGTGAATTTTCAGAAGAACAGGAAGATGTTTTCATTGATTTTATGCATCCTGTAATAGAATATCACCGCACCTTAGAATATCACCGTATCGAGTACGTCCGAATAATACAAGAACGTTCAGAAAATGTTGTTTTTTAACAAACAATTTCTAGTATGTTGGTTTTTTAACAAAATACATAGGTGATGTGATATTCTAATCATATAATAGTGTATTTCTAAGTTTTGTGAAGGTGATGTGATATTCTAACCTTCTAAGCACTATTTATGATATTGTTTTTTAACAAAATATATGAATGTGATATTCTCGCAGCGGCTACAGGATATGTCTAGACGTATCTTTAATAAAAAAAGTTAGAGATACGTCCAAACTTTCCGACGCAGAGGAGCATTTTGTTAAACTTTAATCTTAAAAATTGCTTAGAAATCAAAAATTTGCGTTAACAATGGCTTTGAATGTTGGTTCAAGTTCAACTCTTTAAAAGAGTTCGAAAAAGCCATTAAGAACTATGAAGTAGAATTTAGCGTTTCTTTATATAAACGAGAGAGTAGATCCATTGCATCTGCAAGAAAAAAAGGCATCAAGCGAACCTTAAATGACGATTTATTGTTTTATAACATGCATTATGCATGCTATCATGGAGGGAAAAATTTTAAAAGTTTAAATCAAAGGTATATGTTATTTAAAATAAATTTATATTACAAGTAATATAAATACTATCTTATATATGTTAAAGCAATCAGATAATAGAATGTAGAAAGGCTCAAAATTGAAACTTAAATTTGTTAAAATAAGTTAATTCTCGTAATTATTATCATTATTTTTTTGATTTATTTAAATAATTTAAATATATCATAGCATTTAAAATTTAATATGTAAAAAAGTTTAAATACTTAAAAAATTCTCATCTTTTCGAAATGAATACGTTTATATTATTAATATAAACATATTCATTTCAAAAAGATGAGGATTTTAATAAGCTGTTGGTCAACTTGATTTATTTATTATCTTTACTTTTACCATGCAGTGTAGGCATATTAAAGTTTCTTTCACTAAAATCCTTATTTTTTTTCTAGTGAAACTTTAAACTTTGGTTTTTAAACTTTTTATGTCATAAATGACTGTATTAAATAATTTTTATTTATTTCCTATTGATAGCACATTCCAGATAGATTGCCCATATGGAATCTGGATAAATGTATCTGGAAACAATTCACAATTATGGATCCAAAAATTGGTATTAGAGCACAATCATTTTGTTGACAAAGTCAGTATTTTACTTATCTTAGTTTAAATTATTTTTATTAGCTATGTGGAAGTTATTCTCTGCTATTAATTTTGCTAAACATTTCTATATTGTTTTTTTACACACACACACACACACACACACACACACACACACACACACACACACACACACACACACACACACACACACACACACACACACACACACACATATATATGTGTGTGTGTTTATACACACACACACGCACATATATATATATATATATATATATATATATATATATATATATATATATATATATATATATATATATATATATATATATATATATATTTATATTTATATTTATATTTATATTAGGGCTATGAGAATCAATTTGATTTAATTCCTGAATCAAATTTTGCTTTGATTCAAAATCAATTCAAAAATAATAATTCTAGTTTTTCTAATTATTTTTTATTTTGTGAGTTGTTTTTTGAGGTTTCCTATATTATATTTATCATATATATATAATTATTCCCCAAAAAAAGGTATTTTGTAAATGACTAAATGATAAGGGTACAAAAAGTTTATACATTAGATATTTTACAATTTTTCTACTTATAGGAATTGTTTAACAATATGCCAAAAAGAAGAAAATTAAATTCTGATGAAAAAGAAGATATTTGTCGCCTTTTGAGTATGCACGGAAGCAAGTGGCTTATTAAAGATCAAGTTATGAAGGAAACAGGTTTTCTTTAACACTTTTATATATAAGTTGCATTGGATACTTATCATACTTATGTTTACTCTGCGTTAAACTTTTTATAATGTTATTTTTTTATCAGAACAACAGATGTCAATGAGTTTCTGTGGCAAATAATAGATAAAAAAGGAGCCTATCCTCAAAACCAGTATATAAAAATTTCCATTGACAGAGTTCGGAGTTCGTTAAACTTTTTATAATGTTATTTTTATAATGTTACTTTTTTTCTTAGGTAAAAAAATTACTCTCAAAGATCTCCGTAACTTGTAATATAATAATGAAAATAAGTTGATTTTAAATTGATCTTAACTAAAAAAAGGTTTTAATTAGGTTATTTAATTAAATGCATTTTTTATTAGCTTGTATTAAGATTTGTTTGCATGTTTAAACAACTTTTAATTATATTCTTATTTTTTTTAGTTCTACCTTGACATTCTACACTACGACATGACGTTAGTTTAGTATTCCTACTGTTGAAATATGGTTTTAATTTAGTAAATTTTTATGATTTGAAATTTACTTTATTGATCATAAGTCATCAGTTATTAAAAAAATATAATCAACATTATTTAGGTAACAGCACCTTTGTTTTTTTTTTGGCATTACAAAGTAATTATGTACTCTTACTCATTATGTTGAGAATTTGTGTAATTTATTGACAATTATTTAAATAAAAAAAATTATTATTAAATAATTTATTGACATTTGATACTTGAGGAAGTAGCTTCATGAAGAGCAATTTCATATCCACATTTAAGAGGGGATTATGCACCAGAGTTTGTTCTCCTAATAAATTTGTATTCTCTTTAACCACAGAGCTTCTTCTGCCCCGTTGTTCTTTTTCAATATAATTTGATTTTCATTTAAAATAAAGCACAAATCTGTTGAATATATAACTTCTTTTTTAATAGGACCAGATCTTGAACTAAGAACAGATGAAAGTGGTATCATAACTGGAATATTTTTTCAAGACTATGAAATTAAGTGATTTTTTGGTTTATATCCTGAGTTACTTTTGGTTGATGCAACTTATAAGCTTACTAATTTGAGAATGCCTTTATACATTCTTCTTGTAGTCAGACCAAATGGCGAAAGTGATATTGCAGCTATTTTTTAACTGCATCAGAAGACTGTGTTTCTTTTTCAACAATGTTTGAAATATTCAAAGAAAAAAATATAAACTGGAGTAAGATATTATCTGTTTTTACTGACAAAGACATGACAGAGCGTGAATGCATTAAGCATGCATTTCCACAAATTAATTTATTGTTGTGTATATTTCTTGTTTTGCATTGAATGAGCAGAGAAATAACAATATCAAAAATGAATATATCTGAAGCTCAAAAACTGGTTGCTTTAAAAGCTCTCCAAAATATGGCATATGCAACTACTGAGAAGGAATATGAATTGTTGCGTGATGAGTTTCACAAAGTTATGCCACTATCTGTTGTTAAGTTTGTTGAAGTTAATTGGCATGCTTGTAGGTTCGAGTGGGTGCATTGTTGGCAGCAACAAAATGTAACTTTTGGAGAATGCACTACCAATCGTCTTGAATCTATTAATCGTAGAATTAAAGCTGTTGTTTTTTTGTTAAGTCCTTTACCTATATTCTTCAAAGATTTGCTTACTGTTATAGCCTGCATGCGACAAGAAAGAGACATAAATATATAAAGACAACAGAACGGGTTCCTGTTAGTGCAGTTACAAGTTTTCAATATGAACGTGATTATAAAAATATATAACGCTGTTTGCTTTTTCTTTTGTTAAATCTCAGCTCAATGAATCTGTCAGCATAGATAGGGAGTTAGCAAATGAAGTCATACAAACTTCTGGAAAAATTGAAACACTATATGAGAACAGCTGCGATTGTTTATTTACAAAGTCTATGGGTTTGCCATGCAAACACATGTTTGCAGCTAGAAAAATTAAGAAATTGCAAATGTTCTCTGAAAATTGTATTGCTCCTAGATGGTTTAAGGAAACAGTGCAGAAAAATCATCGCGTTTTTCGAAAGAAGGATCAACATGATAGCCATATAAAATTTGCAAAGCTAAAGGATAAACCCTTGACCCATGTAGAAAAATATTGTCGCGCTAATCGACTTGTACAGCATTTATTAGATTTAGCAGCAGAAAGCGGATCATCTCAGTTTGAATGTAGAATGATGGTCTTGCAAAATTTAGCAAGTGTTTGGGGTTATAACAAGGAAGCTATGGTAACTTCAATTCAACATCAATTTGTTGATTTTAATATTCAAAACAGAGTTTCCAAGTTGGAAATGGAAGATGATAAATTTAAGTCTAAACTGCATGAAAGAAAAGTAAGATGTTAACACTTTAAGATTTATTGGCATTTGAATTGCTAATTTGGCTCCTATAAATTTTTAAGTATTTTAGTATTCATCATTGTTTGTTCTCCAATTATAGCTTGAAATAAAGATTTAAGTGAGCAAGTTGTTGATGTTGTTAATGTTGAAGAAATTGATAAAAACAATTTTGATCAAAACTATAAAGTAAATTGTGGTTTGTTTGACTTATTTTTTAATTATTTATTTTATGAATTAAATTGTTTCGTTTCCAATTTCAGTTTGAAAGACCAGCTTGTTATGGTAAAGTTGAAAACAATGCAGTTCAAAACTATATGGTATGCTTTCATTCTTTTTCCCTATTAAAATTATTTGTTTTATGAAGTTAAACTTTTTTATTGCCAAATATAGTTTGAATGGCAAGGTTTCAGTGGTTAAATTGAAAGCATTGCAGTTCAAAACTATATAGTAGTAGTAGTAGTAGTTGTTGTTGTTGTTGTTGTTGTTGTTGTTGTAATAGTAGTAGTTATAGTTTGCATATAAAGATCTGTAATATTTAGTCATTTCAATCTTTCGCCATAAACTGTATGATTGTATTAAACATAATACAATCATACATTTGATAAATACATATAAATGAATATTAAATCAAAACCATTCGAGAAGATTTTGTTTACCTAAAACTTTGTGTTTTACATCCATATATTTTTAGACAAGCAACTGTTTATATTGTGTAATTATTAAGTAGGGCCCTGCGAATTACCTTTTTAGGTATTAAATCCGAATCGAATCAGCCGTTGATTAGCAAATCAAGTCGAATCTTGTATCAAATTAGCTTTTTGAGGATATCTATATTTTAGTTAAACTTAGATTTCCTTAAATTGACTTGTGATTCAACTTGATTTGCAAATCAAGAATTGCTTCGAATCGTGATTTGATTCGAAACTAAAAATTGTGATTCACAGGGCTCTTTTATTAAGAAACATTTTGCAAAAATGAAATCAAAACCTTCATCTACCACAGGAAAAAAGGCATGCTTGCAGTGATAAAGTTGAAAGTAATGCAATTCAAAACTGTATTGTATACATTTTTTATTTTGCCCTATTAAAATTACTTATTTTCTGAAGTTAAATTGTTTTATTTCCAATTATAGTTTGAAAGAGCGGGTTGCAGTAGTAAAGTTAAAAGCATTGCAGTTCCAAACTTTACGGTATACTTTCCTTTATTTTCTTAATTAAAATTATTTATTTTATTAAGGTAAATAGTTTTATTTCCAATTATAGTTTGAAAGACCAGGTTTCAGTGAAGTGGAAAGCAATGTAGTTCCAAACGATATGGTATACTTTTATTTATTTTCCTTATTAAAATTATTTTATGAAGATAAATTGTTTTATTTCCAATTACAGTTTGAAAGTCCAGGTTGCAGTGGTTGAGTTGAAAGCAACGTAGTTCAAAACTTTATAGTTCCTTGTAAAGGTATTATAGATTTGACAATATTTATTTCTTGTAACTTTATACATGTAACTTGTATTTTTTTAACAATGTAAATAAACAAAAAATCCGATTTTTTTCACTAAAACAAAATGGAAATAGGACAAAATTAATACGTAATACAATCATTACCATCTCTCACTCACTCTGGGCACATTTGGTACACCTATTAATCTTTTTACTTTTCTAAAAAACATCTTTTAAACTTGCTTTGAAATTAATATTGCATCTGTTGTTCCCTTTCATGGTCTTAAACCAAACTGTGGTTTATTGATATTCATTTCAATTTCTAGTATGTCTTCACCTTTTATAAACTTTTATTTAAATTTTTTTACAATCATTTGAGATTTAATCTAAATGTAATTCATCAGACATGTGACACTTACTCTACACCCACATCATCTGAAACTCAACATTTCAGCTGATACACCAGGAGAATCAACAGGCTAGCCTAATAAAGCTGTACCAAAAGCTATTTCAATTCATTCCTGGTTATTAGCTTTGCTGGTCCATTAACATTATTTACAACAGATAAACTGTTTTCATTATGCCCATTTTGTTTAGCAATCTACCTTGTTTTCAATGCAACTGTCTTTGTAATTATTTTTCTATTTAGTATTTTAATACAACCTTCTCCAACAATGTGTATACTTTTCCAAATGTTTTGCTTTACAACTCTTAATACTTATGAATATTTTTTCCTCTGCATCAACTATTTTTTCTAATAGCTTCTGTGATTGATAAAGCATAGCTAGATGCCAGGTTTGTGACCGGAGTTGCATAAACATTTAAACACCCTAAAGTATATTAATTTATTTAAAATTCATGTTATATTTTGGGTATATAGGCATATATAAACATCGTTATGATCAACATGATCATCATAAACATCATCATTATTATCATCATGATCATGATGATCATCAGCAACAGCATAAAAGAGGAAGGTTAAAGGCTGATGATGATCACCATTTCTTAACTAAAGCTCATTTATACAATATGTATGGCAATCTCTTCAAATGTTCTTACTTCTACCATTAGCATTTTCTATCCTCTTCTTTTTTTAAGTAACTTTAAGGGTACCACAAGGTTCTATCTTTGCTCCTGTATTGTTTCTTATCTACAATAACAATCTTCATGAAATCTAAAGTGGCTCTACTTGCTGGTGACTCAACTTTATACTCTTGTCTTGACAAAAAAATTTCACTTTTTAATTGCTTAGAACAAACTGCCGATTTTAAATCTGCTCTCTCTTCTGTAAGAGCCTAATGCTTCCAGCGACTTATGGATGTAAATTCTGGATTTAAAATCCACAGGCAAAAAAAATCTCATTTACTGCAAAAAAATATTGCAATATTGTTGGCAATCCTATATTTATAAATAACAACCCTCTTACTTTCAGACAAAGTCTAAAAACACATTTACTATGCTCAAAGTGTAAAAGAAATAACTTTACCAGAAAGCGATAATGAACAGCACCGATTACAGAATCAAGTATGCAACGTTCTAAACTAAAAAAGCTATCACAATGAAGCATGACAAAATGCAGTCAAGAATAAACTGCAGTAGAATTAGCTAGATAGGATAAAGTGATGGTGCTTCTCAAAGAAATAATTTAACAACACTAGTAGTTCTAGATGGAACCCATCGGACAAAAGGCCCAGAGCAAAAAGAAAAGTTTTAAACTTTCAGTAAACAGCAATGGTAGACAACCTTCACCCTCTTTATTTAATCAACAACTGCTTCCCAATGGATGCACCATCTCAAAATACTGGCTATCTAAGTTTATTTTTCTAAATAAAGAGCTAGCACTTGTTATTACAAACATTATATTCCTAAATTATAAGTTTGTTTTTGTTATTGCTAACATTAACTTTCTAATTTAAAAGTTTGTTCTTGTTATTAAAAACAACTTTTTGAAATAAAAGTTTGTTCTAAGTTTTCTTTATACCAGTTTTATAAAAAATCCAAAACTATTTTTTATTTGCCATCACTTTTAAGTCTTTGAACAACAATCTAAAAGCACATTGTAAGTGTAATTAGACTCTACAACAATGGGAGAGTGCCACAAGCTTGGGAGATAAAGCAGGTCTAATTACACTTACAATGTGCTTTTAGATTGTTGTTCAAAGACTTAAAGCTTGTTTGACTATTGACTCAATAGTCAAACGAGCTTTCATCTCTATAACAATAAACCAAAATACATTCTTGCTTGGCTTTTTACTCAACAAGTTGCATCCTTTTACTGTATTTGTCCCTTCATGCTATAAAAACTTTTATTAATCCGGTTTTATTCCTTAAACATCAAAAAAACCTATCTTCTTACTCATCTTCATGTTTTCTTTTTTTATGCAATTTACAACTTTTTAAGTCTTCAGTTATACATTTCCTAGTATTTTAACTTATTCTCTATTTTAAAGTAACTCATAACTTAGTAGTGGTTGCTTTCAATCTTGTTGGAAGTAAATTAGAGTTTAAAAATATATAAATGTATGCCTGTATTTAATAATAAGAAAATCTGAGCACAAAATTATAATATATTAAGTATTAAATTTTTTTTATAACCCTAGTTATTAACCCCTGATAGATCTTATGCTGGGGCCAGGGCCGGGTTCGCAGGGGCCGGGACCGGGACCCCTGCTAAAAGGGAGTCCCTTTGAGAGATGTTATATGAAATAAACACTTAGGATAGAATCAATTGTTAAGGATCATTTGTTTTTAGAATTTAGAAAAGAAACTGAAAAACATAAAAAAGAAGTTATAAATTTCTTTTTTATGTTTTTTATGTTAAAAATCATGTGATTCTTCTAAAATACCGGAGAACCAATTTGATTTCTCCTAAATTCAATTTCCACCTAAGTTTGTATCATGAGGGCGTCCTAAGTCAATAAAGAAAAAAAATGCTGTTGGTGTGCGTAAAGTTCAGAAGATCTGCTTGACCAGATGACTGTTAAAGAAAAAGTTCATAGTAAGTATACATTATTATTTACTTGTCATCAATCAGAAATTTAAAACTGGCATTGGTTTAATCAATTGATTTGACTAACTATTTAATTATAATCTATTATATAGTTTAAAATTATGAGTTCTCTCTCCAACAAAAGTTGGTATCTAGCCAATTGGAACCAATAAATTGCAAATTCTATATAGACAAAATAAACTGTAATATAATTGAAATAAGTCATTAATTGAAACGAAATTTAAAAGTTGATGATAAGTAATATTAAAAATAAAGATTGCAGATAATTTGTATTATTTCACCAAGGCTATTTTAACTCCAGGCCTCGCAATTAAGAAGAAAGATGGCGGCTGATTTATCACTACTACTGTTCTGATTTATCACCACTACTGTGTTTATTAGTGCTTAGATTCAAAGTGTAAACTGTTATATTTATAATTTGTATTCTGTCTATTTTTTTAAATTCAGAATTCAATATTAATGGATTTATCCATTTATATTTTTTCATCAGCATTTGGATTTTCTTTTTAATGTATCCAGATTTTAATATGACAATAATCACGAATTTGTTTTTAGAAACCTTTACAAAAATCCACAATTTTAAGAAATACCTATAATTGAATTGGACTTTGATAACGAAATCACTGATTGAAAATACTCTAACAAACTTTATATTGTTTTTCACATAAGATGATGAATTTAAATCCTAATTACTTCTTTCTTTATTTTTTAGTTTTGTTGCTGCGTTTGCTAAAAGGAGGAAGGCCTAATGATGTTACAGTTTTAACACCTTCCGATACTATAGATCTTAAATTAGATGCTAAAAATCTTCCATCATCTCTAATGAATGAGATAGTTGTTTTTGAAATTCTAAAGCCATTTCTTACAGCACAAGCGTGGAAGATTTTAAGAGCCTTTTTTTTAAAGCGCAAAACAATGAAAATTTGGAATTGTCCAATTTGTATTCTTAATGCTCCTACAGAATCGATTGAGTGTAGCAGTCGTCTTGAATGGTATCACTTTAATTGTGTCAAGGTGTCATCCAAGATAAACAAAAATTGGTAGTGTAGCACTTGTCTGTTGAACCCTGAATCTTGAAGTTTATTGGTAGATAAAGTAGATTGTTGTTAAATTTATTGGTAGATAAAGTAGATTGTTGTTAAATTTATTGGTAGATAAAGTAGATTGTTGTTAAATTTATTGGTAGATAAAGTAGGTTGTTGTTAAATTTATTGGTAGATAAAGTAGATTGTTGTTAAATTTATTGGTAGATAAAGTAGATTGTTGTTAAAGTTATTGGTAGATAAAGTAGATTATTGTTGAATTTATTGGTAGATAAAGTAGATTATTGTTAAATTTATTGGTAGATAAAGTAGATTGTTGTTAAATTTAGCAATAAACTTCATTTATTTACATGTTTTTTATTAATATTAACTGTAATATTAAAAAGAGTTTTTAAAACTTATTTATGTATATTTATGTATATAATTACTATTTATAAAATATTTATGGAATATTTAATACTTATTGAATTTAGTTGTTTTGTATAAACAAGGTTTTAGTAGTTTTAGTAATTTTAGTAATTTATAATTTTTATTCTAAATGTAGCGGTCTCTAAAGCAATGGTACGTAGCAGTGTCCTTGGGGTCCGGTTTTAGGTTTTTAGTAAAGACCTAATGAGCAAATTTTGAATATAATATGCAGGTGCGTTAAATGAGGTCTTCAGACTTCAGGAACGCGCTAAAGTCGTGTTAAAGTCTTGCTAGTCAATGCATGCTTAAAAAAGTATTATGATATACTTCATGGAGCCGGGATCGTTGAACCTCATATTGCTACGTCAAACTGTATTTTTTTAAACGAGCTTTCTTCGTAATAGTAGCAAAACTTAGCAATCGATCTAATTTACATAAAGTGATAACATATATCAGCAATATAGTGTACATGTGCTGACAATACACTAAAATTTTTTATAAACAAATATAAAAAATACTTTCTCAAACTTTATTGACAATTTGACAGTAATACGACTGTTTTAAGCTGATACTTTATGTATTCTTTGACAAAAAAAAGAAATTATTCTAACTTCTTAGAAATTTAGTTTTATTATAAATAGTTTTCTTTAATAAATGAATAAGTCAATAAAAAAAAAAAAAAACGCTATTATTTTCAGAAGATACTGCTACTCAGTGTAGTAGTACTCCATTGCATGTTCTCGCTAAATCAGTTGATGTATGTACTAAAGTTTCCAACTCCTAATTTCTACGCTTAATTCCCTTATTTTACCCGTTGTTAATTTCCGCATTTCAGCATTTTGTATTTCCGCATTTTACACGTGACAGTTACAGTACTATAAAAAAGGAATCTGTTTTATGGCTTACGGGATTTATGTGTATACGGATATATGTGGATACGGTATTTATACATACATCGCCAAATGTTTTTTTTAATTCTCGTTATATTGGCATAAGTTTTTTTTTTATTATTAATATTATTATTAATAATAATATTAATAATAAAAATCCAAATGCTGATGAAAAAAAGGTGCTCTGAGAAATCCTAATGGTCTTTTCACAGACCACCGTCCCATATAGAATAGCATTTAATAGATTAGCTCTCCATTTCCAACCTTACCAAAAGAGTTTTTGAGCCAAGCCGTGAAGTGGAACCAAGACTTTGCGGTCGGAGTCCAAACGGTTGATATCTACGCAATGGTTGCCAACAACGCTGCGTTCATTGCTAAAATTTAGGTCACCTATTCCACCTATTCCTATTATTAGAACCTATTCCAATGTTTTTTCATTAGTAATTCACCTAAATTTTTCTATACGTCCAAAAGTTTCGACTTACCTTTACCTTTTGTTTGTTAGCAATAGGTATAAATATTTCTAACGCGCCCGAATATTTAGACTTATTTTAACATTTTCTGTTAGTTATATATCTAAAAATTTCTACCGCGTCTGAAAGTTTAAACGTATCTTTAACTTTTTCTGTTAGGAATACGTCTAAATATTTCTACCGCGCCCGAATGTTTGGACGTATCTTTAACTTTTCTTGTTAGGAATACGTCTAGACGTAACTGTAGTCACTGCGTAATTAAAACGCCATTTTTTAATATTAGATTAATTAAAGTTACGCAAAAACGTAAGTCAGACAAAAGCAGACGTAACTTTTCTTGCGTAAAGTTTGCAGAGCTTTTTTTAGGAAAATGTTTTTTTGACTTTTTGCGTAAGTAAAAACTTACGCAAAAACTTAAGAATATCGTAAGTTTTTGCTTTGTGAATATGACTTTGCGTAACTTTGAATTTACGCTAAAACTTACGAAATTTTTTGACTTACAAAAGAGTTGTGAATAAGCTCCCTGGTGCGGTATATTCTAAGGTGCGGTGATATTCTATTACAATTCTCATGGTATGGCTCAGTCATTTTACTGGCCTTGCACCAAGGACACTTTTTGCCTCAACTTCTCTAGCATTTTAAATTATCAATAACATATATTTATCCGCAGTATTTTTATAACTGTTAAATTTTTGAAATCCTTTTTTAGACATATTTATTGTAAAAAATCAAATGTTTTACGATTGTTAAGGCGTGAGACTAACTTTTTTGAAAATGCATCGGTTTGGAAATAAAATAATTATATAATCAAAATACACAAAAATAAATTTTTTACTAAAATGAATCAGTCAAAAAAAAAACGCACTTATTTGCAGCTTTTTTTACTTTAAATATTGCGATTCACATTTTGGTGATTTGTTTACTTTTCTGAAATAACTCAAGCAAATGTTAAAAAAAATTCTTTGAACATAAAAATATTTTGATTTTTTGTACAGCAAGCTTTGATTTTGATGCAGTATGATAAATCTTTATGTTTAGGACAAAATCGTAAAATTCAAAAAATGTATATATTGATCATTTTTTTTTCGTTCATAAGAAAAATCTCTCCAAAATAATTTTTATTGTTTATAGAAGTGTGAAATAAGCTCTTTCCAATGATGCAAATAAAAAAATAAAAAATTATTGCCCACATTGAGTTTTAGGGGTTCAAACACACGTTATTTTAGGGTATTTCACTTTTGTCGCTATTTTGCTTTCAAAATAACTCAGAAAAGACGTTTATAAAAAAGCTGATTTTTAATCTATATCATTATGATAGTATGTAGAACCTGTAAACAAAATAACAATACTAAAAAATCTTTTGTTCTGGAGATATAACCCTACAAAAAGCAGAAAAATTTATCGTGTTGAATTTGTGACGGTATTTGGTGAACCATAGACTAAAATGTAGGCATATTATGAAACTTAAAATAATTTTTTTGTAACCTCCATCTTCGGTTTATTAAGAAACCACGGTTTCAAGATATATTATCCGTTCATTACGAAAATATAAGACCCCGAAAATGCTGGTTTTAGCTACAGACTGATATTGAAGTTTGGTTAAGCCTTTCAAAAAGTACCACAAAACCCAAAATAATAAACATTTTAATCTAAAAATTTGGCAATTTCCATGAAACATGTTTAACAACATGCTGACAAAATTTTATTAAATTGGAGATGGTAGAGCGGAGACCTCTGGACCACTTGGCGTGGAATGACCCATATACCATAATTTCTTATTAAAAAACTAAATCACTTTTTTTAGGTTATTTGTATGTTTAATAAATAATTCATTTTCATACACATTATTAAGAATATAAATCTGTGTTAATAATTAGTTAAACGTTTAACTAATTATTAACACAGATTTATATTCTATTGGTGTTTAACACCAAAAAATAAAATTAAAATCTAACATTGATTTTACATCTAGATCCAATTTGTGATATCATTTTAATTAAATAATACTTTCATAAAGCTCAAAACAAACAAAAAATACCTTAATGCTGAATAACCAAGATTTTTTTACTTAAGGGTACAAAATCCATCATATCTGTATTAAATTGGTAAGAATCGTGTGTTCTTAGAAACATTAAATTTATTTCCGAAAGCTCTTTAATCTAGTCTTTAGTTAAGACATTAGACCTATGCTTTGTTTCTATTGCACAAGCAACTAGTTCTTCAGTTAAATATGGATTCATATAAAAATTTTAAAAATCAAGTTATTAAAGTCACGCTATCTTAGTTTCTAAAGAAATGTGGAAAACGATTTTAATGAAAATGTCACGGTAGCGAATAAAAAATCGAAATTTGTTAGCTACTATATAAGAGAACATTTTTCTAAATCGGACACGTCAAAACCAACTATGTGGCCAAGTTTAATTTTCAGATTTTATTAAGAAAGATCTATATTTTATTATTTATTTGAGAGCGTTTATCGATTGAATAAAAGGTCGGTACGTATAACAGGAGCCGTTGTGGCCATGGCAAGAATCTCTATAGCCAAATTACGTAAATTACGGCAGACGCAAAGAAATTTTGAGGAATATTACGCTAGCAAAAAAATCCAAAGCTAAGTTGGCTGCCGTTAAATTTTATCTCTATGGCCATAAGCCAATAAGGGTTATCCATAAAGTACGTCACGCAGAGTTTATAAGTATTATTGACTTTCTATTACTGAGAATTTTGAAATAATATAGCGGATGTTTACAGCGTTTTTAAAATTTAAATTTAGTGTGACGTAGTTTATCAACGACGAAAAATGATAAGCAAGTCCTAAAATTGCTTAAATTCGTTTTCAATTACATATATTTAAAAATATCTTAATAATTAATTCTAAATCTAAAAGATTTTTGATTAGCATTAAATAATTTTTTTTTTAATAAATCAATCTGACTTTAAACTATGTGGCCATGGCCACAATGGCCACCTCTTAGATCCGCGCCTGCTTTGACTAGTGTATATTAACACTTTTGTTTTTTTCATTCTCATTTAATATTTTTTATCTTTAAAAAAAAAACATTTCTTCAGAAGTATTAACTACGAAAAGCGACGTTGACGTTATTTGAGGTTTTTTAATAATATAGTGAAACTATTAAAGCTGTTTTATCATTTTTATCATTGATTATCAAAAAATTATATAACTTAAAGTACAATCTGATTTTTGGAAGTCTAGTTAACAAATTATTACTCCATAATGACTTAATAGTTTTAGAAAAAACGTTGGGCTCACTCATAGCACAGAGTGGCTCTTTCATTGACAAGATGTTATGAAAGAGCTGATTTCTCTCTTTTTTTAAAAAAAGGTGTATGATAGATTATTAGCATTATTATCCAATTTATTTTAATTTTGTAATATTACCCAATAAAGTAGCTATTTAATTAAAAAAAAATTTTTTAATTAATCAAGTTTGATTAATTTAAAAAAAAATTTGATAACCATAGATATTTTACTCTCCCCTAATAGTGAGCGAATGAAATATCTATTTTTAGAGCCTAAAATAAAGTATTTACGCATTATGAAAAATAAGTTCCGAATAATTAAGGTGATTATTATGAACTAGTATAATCTT